AGGGACGTCCAGAACCTCTCGCTCGCTGTTCTCGGCCTTCCTGAGTCTACTCTCGTTCACACTTCAGTATACTGCATAAGGATCTGTTGTTTCTCCTAGAAACTTCTCTTATCGATAGACCGGATTCACGTAACCCGACAATTCGACCTCTCTCAAAGTCGCTTAGCTAGGACACCAGGCGAATTTTACGCACTCTAGGCATTTTGAACAATCACAAAAAGGTTTCTTCATAAGCTACACGAAATTTAACATTCAACTGACACCGTAAATGTACGAAAACTGAATGCTTCTTTATCACCAAACAATACACGCATCCAGCACAAGAACTTAACAGAAAAACCTGACCATTTTATCACTTGTTGTTCATGGCAAGATAAATCGATGTGTAAAAAATTCTTGAATTCTAATAAACATAAGTAGGTGTTTACCTTTTTTGGTCACTCAGTACATTATATATGTATATACATTTTTTGCTTGCATGCAATGTGAGGACCGACTGTATACCACCAGAAGAAACGCCGCTACAAATGTGTTTTAGACATGATCTGGTAGCACGCCATTTTTATATCTAAAAGTGGCGAGTATACACGGAAAAAGCTATTTTAAATTTATGACTTGTATATCGGAGAAAGTGAGGACCTAACGAGGTCCGTATATTGAAACACTTACAACAAAGTGAGGACCTTTCTGAGTATATTCTCACTTAGCGCATAGAGTCAGGACCGTACATTGCCTATGTCAAATGGTTTTTCTCAAAGTTCACTTAATTTGATACGTAGCTGTGATGCCGGCAATAGAGAAAGAAACAGAGAGAGAGATAGTTGTTAACTGTTTCGGTAGCTTTAATAATTATCAGATAAAATACATTTCTAGAGCGTTTGAGAATTGCGATCCAAGTAGGAGAGTGAAACATGCAATATTAAAATATCGGCAAGTAGGTTGACTCGTTTTGGAATCACAATTTTCGGCGAACTAGGATACATTTCATCAGCGTATCCGAAATGTGGTCCTTGCAAGAGTGTGAAAAATCCTACCAAGAAGCATTAAAATGACGTCAAGTAGGTTGACTCATTCAAGGAATGACGTAAATAGGCGAGCATCTGTGAAATGTCGTCCACTCAGGAGCACGAAACACCCCACCATGCGAAACGTTTTCCATGCAGAAGAGTGAAACACCTCATCGTGCAAAAATAAAATGACGTCAAGTATGTTGACTCAGAGAGTAACGATATTGGCGGATTAGGATACATTTCGTCAGCGTCTGCGAAATGAGGTCAGTGCAGAACAGTGAAACACCTAATCGTGCAGCATTATAATGACGTCAAGTAGGTTCACGGATTCAGAGAATAACGATATTTGGTGGATTAAGATACGTTTCGCGAGCGTCTGCGAAATGTGGTCTATGCGGAAGTGTGAAATACTGCAACATCCAACAATAAATGACGTCAAGTAGACTGAAACGTTAAGGGAATGACGTTATTAGGTGAAAGAATGTCAGGAACGATAGGAGGCTGAATGGTACCACAGTAAGATGAAGGCCTTGAGTTATTGAATGACGTTAATTGAGATGATTTCTACTATAGTCACAGATATGTTGTAAAAAGCACATTTGGTTTATAGTAATGGATACCGCTTACTGTTAGCTTTGAGAGCTCACGCAAACTTAGTTTTTTGGCAATCCGAAAGTTGGGCTTGAATTAGGTAGACACAAATTCATTGTAAGGCGACGAGAAAGTTTTGGAACCACCGGTTTTGAGCTTGTGTAGCCCAGTGCGTGCACCTGTGGGCGACTCTATGAGTGGATTTATCAAGAGTGGAGGAAGCTTCGTAATTCCGAGGATTGGTCTGTGTTTTTTATTATCCTTTGAGGATCTTACCTCAGAAATACGCTTAATGTATGTGCTCTGAAGCTGCAAGTCATAGCAGTATACCTGTGGGATTACTGTAGTTTTTTCATTTGAGCAAAGTTTGGAGGAAGAAATTTTCATGTGAGATCTGAAGAATAATGATTCTAGCAATAAGGCTTAGAAACTGGAATTGCTTGGAAGGTAACACTTGTTAATTAAGTAAATGCATCAGAGTGTACATTTTTCACATAAGATCAGAGAAGTACAGCTAAGTCTTGAGACTGCAAGTATTAACTTTGCATCTAGATGGTAGCACTTTCTCAATGGGGCTATTGTCGTGTAAAAAACCTAAGAATTATGGTTTGCAATGTTTCCACTGTTATCTAAAAACTCTTTTCTTTCGCTTAGGTAGATGATTATCAAAAGAACAAAGTTTTGTGTTGGAAATTTAACAAATACGTTCCAGCGAGAATATTTTGAGACTTGTGCATGATGGATAGGTACTACTTTTGATATGAGTGTTTTCTTCTAACATTCAAGAGATACCGATTTGCGAGAGAATTTTGAATGTTTATGTGCAATCAAAAAAATTGAAAATCCAATACGATGGTGTGGTAGCCATGTAAAATTTCAGTTTAAAATATATCCTTTTGAAAAGGTGGATATGCGTAGCATCACTTTGATGTATTATAAGTGGATATCAATTACCTAAATCAGGGCTGTCCAAGGCCACTTCAAAAAAAATACAGTTTGGAGGGCCGCATTATAAAATCTTTCTATTCAACATTATTACTGAGTTTTCATATGTATATACTATACTATATTTGAGAGTAATTTATACATGTGATGTATACATGACCCATGAGGCGGGCCGCAAGAAACGAGTTCGCGGGCCGCATGCCTACATGTTTTTTATTTGGAAAGGAGTAAAAACAGCCATATGAACGTCCTTTCTAGGGTGTTGCACTTTCCACACAGTCTCCAGTTACAATACTTTATTCACAAGTCAGATATTTATGTTTCATGAGAGGAGTGGTATTATTTATCTTGTTATCTCAAATCCACTTTCTAAGAGTGATTCTTGTCAAGTAACAGTTCGAACAGGCATAATAAGATTTGCGAAGTGCCAGATTTTCTGCAATTTGAATTTATAATTCAAGTGTGAATGACATACTTACCCATCAAGGTGAATATGAATAAATGCACAAATTCGGCGGAAACAAAACACTTAAATTTAGCTGAATCGATTAGCGTAGTGTTATTTCTCACAATGTTTAATTAAAACACAGTTGATTCATTTCTAATGTCTTGCGCATTGAAACTTGAGATGTTCTCTCCGCAAACTTGTTTTAATTTTTTTTAATTCCTTTGAACAGTTCCATTTTTGAATGGACCTTTATTTGAACTGTAGAAGCACTTTTACGGGTGAGTTCAGATATATCGATAGCTCACTTTTCAAGAAAATCGTCAAAGTATGTTCTGCAAAAGTATCATATACGATGATTGGACGATAAGGGATTACAAGTATTTCTGGAGCACTGTCCTTCTTCGAGAAGCTCTTACCGGACCGCCAGTCTGATTTTTCTAAGATTCCCCATGCACATGCTTTCGTTAATGTCTCGCTGAATCAACTGATTAAAATGCATAATTTCTTTAAAGTACTTTTACAGATCAACGTCTCTACGAATTGTCATTTTTTTGACAGTATTGCACTTACTATAACTTCGGTCCTATTCCATAAAAAGTATGGTGTAATAATTACAAGTCAATTTACTTGTAACTTATACTAATACTAATACAAGGTACTGTTCTTTACGCACGATATACTAGTCTAAATACACGGTGTGGCAGAGGAACTTGCTGATTTGAATTGGGCGCTCCAACGGACGCGGGAATAGGCAGATTCGAGAGAATAATACGTGAAGTTTTCGCGCCGCGTGGTATAGTCACTATCACGGAGTGAACCAAGGGGGTTAAACGTGTTATGAGGCGAACTGACAATACCAAGGTCATTCTCTCCAGGCACAGAACACATGAATCTCCAGGCAAAATCTATGACACTTTCTTACCAACAGAGTTTGATTTTTGACAAACGACAGTTTGACTTTCCCTGGGAACTTCCATTTTGTTTTCAATCCGTGTTTTGATTAGGGTAAGCTACTCATTAAATTTTTAATTATTGATTTAGTTCCCAATCGAGAAATTATCGTTCATAATCTTTATATAATAATATTAATAATAATAATTTATAATAACCTTTGTCATATATTTTTCAATGTGCGAGGGTGGTTCAAATATGATCGAGACCAATGGTCTGACACGTTTATTTACTATCGAAAAAATTTACAAAAATGCACAGTTTTTCTAGGGACGTTCCCTCACTAGTTACGCATTTTTTCCACCTTTTCGGAAGCTTTTTAATGCAGGTATCTAAGAATTCCTTGGGCAACTGGGACAGTCATGTGCGCACGAACTCGTTTACCTCGTCGTCGGTGTTGAATCTTTGACTACCGAGGGCTTCTGTCAGTGAACCAAACATGTAGTAGTCGCAGGGAGATAAATCCCATGCCAATTTCGATATTGTATCGAGCGTGAGACGCCCAGCATGAGGGCGCGAGTTTGCCTGGAGAAGTATCGCACTTCTTGCCAGAATGCTTCTCCATTTCGAGATATAAGCGGGTTTCGACTGTGTTTTTAGAAGGTTAGGGTAGTATGCAGCATTGATGGAATGTTGGGTGCTCAGGAAGTCGACGCACGAATGTTGTCTGGTGTGATGCTAGTTCGCGGTCGACGATCAGGCGGCTCATTCTCGACGGTTTCGCGACCACCGTTGAATGTTATGGCCCATTTAAACGCAGCAGCCCTACTCAGGTACGCACTACAGAACTGATTTCAAAAACGCACGAAAATTTCCGTGTTTTTAACGCCTTTCCACTATAAAAAACGAATGACAATACGTTGCGCAACGGCGATCGGCACTTGACCTTCATCCATGGTCATTAGCACGCGCGTGAAACATGCGCTTATAACGAAAGCTGTACCACACTGTTCGTAAGGCACGCAGCTATCACATACTCAAGCCAGCTACAGCATTTGTCTCCATCATATCTGAACCGCCCTCGTAAAACACTTGTAATTGTGTGCAGGAATACTTAAGATTGCAAACTTCAATAAGCTTATTTTTTTTGTAAATCAGTCATGTCTGGATTTGGGGTTGCCTCTTCGTACTACTCATGCAAATATCCTTGCAAAAATTCCTGTTTCCACATTGTTCGGAAATCTGCTTGTATATACAAAAATAAAGTATTCCATCGTTTTCCGAAAGTTGAAAAAACTGTTGCTGCATGGAAGGCAGCTTGTAAGATATCTCCCGCTCATAAAGTTTCCAATTATTATGTTTGCGAAGATCATTTTTCAATGTTTGATCGTAAACATCCGCAAGATCCTTCACGTCGCAGATATCTTACCATACCAGTATCCACCAATACAGTTTTAAATTCAAATAATAGTTATCCCAGCCAGCAAGGACACGTATACTTCACGTGAAAAGAACGTACATCTTTGCGTAGTATTCACGGCCCCATTCGACGTGAAAAACCCGTTGAATTTGTGGGCGAAATGTCAGATAGAATCGACGTCATTTTCTGACAGCGATTCCAGGTGATTTATACACGTGGTTTAAACGCCCCTTTTCGACGTGGAAAGGCCGTTAATTTGTGGGCGACGTGTCAGATAGAATCGACGTTACTTTCTGATGACGATTTCACGTGATCTACACACGTCGTTTCCATGCCTCTTTTCGACGTGGAAAGTCCGTTAATTTGTGGGCAAAGTGTGAGATAGAATCGACGTCACTGCCTGACGACGATTTCACATAATAACTAACTGAATGAAGGTGGTAAATAACATTTACTAATACTGATAAAACTATATATTAACTAATATACATATATATATATAAGGAAATAGATACAACTTTTGCAGATATGTTTTAAAACATTTCATTGCATATTAGCTTTCTAATTAAATATGATCTTAGTGAATGAAACAATCGTTTTGTGAGCATCAGATTAAGCATTGACGTATTCTTGGGTCCTTAGAGCCGCATAGCTGTGAAGAATCTACCTCGCATATAGGTGATGCATAGTTCTTGTTCAATATTATTACTTTTGTCAAAATCTTGCTCTAAATCTCTCACACTTCTCAAAATATCCTCAATTACTTCAAAATTTGACTCTACAAGACTGTGGTTGAGATGAAGCCACAACCTGAGAGACATTTATTTCATTAAATATTTGTTGAACTTCCTTTCAAGCATGTCTAATGACTGATGATCACTAATAATTTTCTTATAGTTCCTTTCACTTTCAGACACTGCCTATCAAAAAAACAAAATGAGTAGAAAATCAAAGTTGAATATTGTTTTTAGTTAATACAATATTACATTTTACTACTACTGAGGATAAAAAAGATACATGAATATTTTGTTTTATATCTTTTTATGCTTAAGGCATCTTCTTCACACATCTTTTTTGGTAGCATTGGTGGCCCTTGAAATAAAATTTGACTATATAGATGTGATATAATCAACTGTATACAGAATAAGAATATACAATCCAACCATAACTTAAAATCAATAGAATTTGACTTGGGAAAAATAAAATATGACAGCTGAAATGCAGAATAAATTGTCTGATAGTCTGATAGAACATTCTATATTTTAGTTTTTTTATTAGTAAATATTTTTTTACTTGTTTACCTATAAGTATATAAAGCTGTCACACTTATTACAACCTTGTTGAGAAATGAAGTTTTGAATGCCTTCTTCTCTTGTCTAGTTCCCAAATAATTTTAGCTAACTGCCAAATTATCAAATATTAGGCGCCTCAAAATTATATTTGTTCTATTGGTAATATCACGTCCCCCTAACTTCGAAAAGTACAAGATCTGAGAAAGAAAATAATATTCTTCTGATTTGGCCATATAACCAACTAAAGTTCTAATGACATGTATCAAATCCCATGGCTACTGCTATTCAGTATAAAAATGCTGTACTTTACTTTCGCTGAACAGACTCATTGTTCTACAAACGTGATGTCCCACTTTGTAATAAAAAAATCTTGCGGGTAAGAATTTTTGCAGTTTAATTAGCAGCTGCATTATTTGAAAAATATTCAAATTGAATTGATGCTGTTCCTTGATGACTGACATAGAGAGACTTGAAGTAATTAAATACATTTCAGGGCCGTATTGTCAGTCATTCTTACAATTGAAGGATGCCTTTATGGTCTGCTTGATTTTCATAGTACTTTCTCCTCTTCAAAGGGCTGGGGTTGTGAAGTTATGTTCTTGAATCGTAGGAAATTTCAGGCTGATAAAATAGATATAAACCAAAAGTATGAATATTTTGATGCGAATAGATATTTGTAACACAACCTCAATATCGAGCGGTAAAACGGAAGAGTAGATAACTGTGAAAATCAAGGAAGCCATAAACAATAATTGTTGGGACGACTGCCATACGGCTCTTAATTATAGGTAAAGTTTGAAGAATATACCTACCGTCCTCAAAAATCGCATCTTCCGATATCGTACTGCTTATACGGCACTTGCTCGTGCTTGCTCTTTATATGGTGGCCAACACACCCGTTTCTTTCTCGGCTTCAGCCACTTTTTATGCACTATGGCAATATCGCCCTCAGCACCACCACCAATTTCATCTGAAAATTCTATTCCTATGCCTATAGCTCATACACAGGCATAGATACTGTCACGATGCTGTTCTTGATTAAACGATGAGCAGGAACACAGTATGGGTTTTGTCAACACACTTAAACTTTAGAATTTACAGGAAGATAAAGATACTTGCACATTTCGCAAAATGCAAGATTGATGCAGGATGGAGAACGCGACGTAAGAAACAGCATGAGGTTCTTGATGGGGAGCGTGGGAATGGCTTTGATTGGATCGTATGTCTGTTCAAAAACATGGTTGCCTAATTGCCTAAAAAAAGTATAGATCAAAGGAAAACGGAAAGACACAAAAAAATCAGCTTCAGCCAAAAGCATTATATAGACGCAAAAAATTGCATCATTACAAAAGTAATCATAACAAGAAAACAATCTGTAGCTTTCCAAATCTGAAATATAAGTATGTAAAAATCTTGGGAGCTAATACCAGTGATTGTGATGAAAATTCTGCAATCTGGCAATGCAGCTATGGCACCCTTTATCATTTGTCGCTTCCCCTATCAAGGCGCGATATTTAAAATTTATTGGCTATGAAATGGGGAAACGTCGATATTATAATAATTAATTCTCAATCACACTTTCATATTTTATTATTTCTATAAGGTGGTCGATGATTTTCACTTAATAATGACTAATGCATATGTTTACACGGCATTATTATTTATAGCAAAGCTCACAAAGCATTTTAGGTTCGATAATCGCTTTTATATTTATGACACCAGGATGTACGTATCTACAAATAAATTACATCACCCAAACACTTATCATCATCATTCTCTCTATTTGGAAGGTTACAATTTAAATTTATGATAAAATGCCACGTCAAATCCACGTCTTTTCCACGTGTATAAATAGCCAACACAGGTACAGATGTATTTGCGGTCACTGTTTCACGAGGATAAAACGTCCCTCGTCGACTAGTGACGGGCTACACCGGATTTCCACGTTTTATCGATTATATTATAAGAATACAGGAGGAAATTATAACAAACTAATACGTTTACCTTAATTTATCGGTTAAGTGACTGCAACATAACCGGGTTTTATTCGCGGTAGTGGAAATTAGTATAGAGGTGTACACACGTCGTAATATACTAAGTGACATATAAATCCGAACACCCAGTTTAAATGGTTTTATTTTAATAAAAGTTGGTAAATGTATTTATCTTACTGTAAATAACAAGTGAAAAAATTATCAGCCTTATCAGTTGGACATTCCGGTTTTTATACTGCTTTTCTTTAATTCACGAACGCTCTAAAAATGAATATTTCAGCCACAGTAAAGAATCAACGTTGGCGGATTTTGGTTCTTGACATCCTTTACGATCGGTTACGATGCCTAGAGTACGGAGACCTGTACGATTTCGTCAACTTAGTGAGTTTGATAGGGGCCGTATAGTGGGACTTCGGGAAGCTGGACTTTCTTTTCGGGCAATTGCAGTTAGAGTGCAAAGAAGTGTAGACGCTGTGGTTAGGTGTTGTCAGGCATGGCTTCGAGAAGGCCGTACGCAACGAGCAAGGGGCACTGGACGCCGCCGTAGAACAACAGACCGTGAAGATCGCCGCCTAAGATTATTGGCCTTAAGGGACCGTTTCTCCACTACCAGGTCCATTGCAAATGAACGGTTTGCAGAACACGGAAGACCTATTGGCATGCGAAGTGTTTACCGACGAATGAGAAGTTTTGGCTTGTTTTCATGCCCGCCACACTGGGTCCTCCCTTTAACTCGAGAACACCGACGTAATCGCCTTGAGTGGTGCAGACAACGATCACTCTGGGATCAGAAATGGAACAGTATTGTGTTTAGTGACGAGTCTCGATTTTGTTTAGGCATGCACGATGGTCGTGCCAGGGTTAGAAGGCGACGTGGTGAAAGGAGGAATCCACAGTTTTTTGTTGAAAGACATGTTCATCACACTGTTGGAGTTATGGTTTGGGGTGCTATAGCTTATGGTTCCAGGTCACCTTTAATCTTCATCAGAGGTAACATGAACGCGCAGCGTTGTATCCACGAAGTTCTAGAACCCCATCTTTTACCCTATCTTGACACCCTGGCAGATCCAACTTTCCAACAAGATAATGCTCGACCACATGTTGCAAGAGTCACAATAGACTTCTTTCAACATAATGATGTCACATTGTTACCATGGCCACCAAGATCTCCCGACTTATCCCCAATTGAGCACGTGTGGGATATGATGGGTAGGAGATTGCTCAATTTGCAACGTCCTCCTCAGACTCTAGAAGCGCTTCGAGAGGGAGTTGGTGGTTGCCTGGAATGAGATACCACAGGAGGACATTGGTGCATCCACACATTATTAAAGGTCAAAGGGCTTTAAAGCAGTGCAATCATTTTGAAATTTTTATCATTTACTTATTATGCTTCATTAAGTACTTATACAAAATTTTATTAAAATAAAACCATTTAAACTGGGTGTTCGGATTTATATGTCACTTAGTATATTTACGTTTTATCGACCTGGTGTGGTTATATCGGACAAATTCCACGACACTGTGCTGGCTGGGATCCTACTAAACCAGTATCTAGAGTTTTATTCAATGACCCTCCTTCTCTAGAGGCTATCACAAATCCAACCCCTTCTGAGCAAAATGAAATTTCCAGTCTTATTCTGGAAGATCAAAACATTGAAATCAGTGGAAGTGGTTTTAGAACAGAATCTAATTACTTAGATAAATATTCTTTTTTGTTAGAGAAGGGCTCTGGCATATTAACAAAATCTGGTACATCAAAGAAGGAATTGAACTCAAGGCTATCCAAATTAAGATCAATTTTCATTGTCGCTGGGGTTGACAAATCAAACTATTTCAAATTTGTTGAAGGCTGGCAAATAACAATTAGATCTGTGATGACACTATGGAGGGATCTTAAGGAAAAGGGCTTGAAATATCTTTGTTTGAGAAATTTAAATCAAGATTCCCTGGAAAGTTTGTTTGGTCAAGTAAGACAGCATGGTATCTTCAATACAAATCCCACCTGTCATCAGTTGTTGCTGCCTTAAAAACAGTAGTTATTAATAATTTCAGCACACCTTTTTCTAAAGGTAATTGTAAAATCGATTTGGTGATACTTTGGTCAATTTCAGTGACTTTTTAGATAAATATGACCAAAGTAATGATTGATGCTTGATTTAGACCCTGAGATTCTAAGTGACTCTAACATGGAAATAATGGACAGTTCTGTTGCATGGAATCCTTCAAATGGTTATGTGGCTGGGTACATTTTGGACATACTCAAAATTGATAGTAATTGTGAATCCTGTGCAAGGTTATTTCTTTTGGTTGTTACTGAAAAACATCTATTTGTGACGTTTAAAGAGCATGATGAGGAAAAGCGATTGAAGTGTGCAAGTGAAGATTTAAATAAGCTGGTTGGTCTTCTGGATGAAAAGCTGTATGCATTTTTAGAGCAGCATGGTACAGAAGGCCAACTGGAAGTTAAATTTAAACAGAAGTACCCTTGCATCCTTCAAAATTACAGCTTTTGTCAGCAGCATGATGTGGCAAAAGGTATAATTTAAAAAACTGCTTAGTTGGGAATTTACAAATATGTAAAAAGAAATTCTTTGAAAAGGAGTGGTAAGATTACCAACAGTTGTATATCAACAAATAAGAAATTCAAGACAGCTAAAGTCAGGTAATGCTTTTTTATGTAGTCCAGCACTCTTCATTCATTGAATTTTCTATTTACTTTCAGTATCCAAATACTGCTGTGATATTATACCTAAACAATATTTTTTTTTGTTCTTAGTTGCAGCATCCTTGGGAGGGAGCAGACATCAGGAGCTTTTGGTTTTAAGTATGAGGAATGTCTTGTTTATTTTTTTGATTCCTTGAAGAAAATTTTCCTCATTTTTACACTATAAAAAATAATATTTTTTCTCAAATTATATTTTTATTTCAGTTATTTATTTAACTACAGAGATTTATTTTTTGTATGAATGTTTACGTTTCAGTGAATAATATACCTCATGATGGATTAACATTAGGTTGTACTTGCTAAACACTCCTTTGATTATTGAGGGTGCCTTTTTATCGTTTATTATGCTACTAATGTATGATTTGTATTTTTTTTTTAAAATATCACTTAATAATATAGAGAAAGCTCCGGATGTCTAAAAATACCTTTACGTATATATTGTCAATGTACTGTGACGATAAATTATTACTTATTATTATTCATATTTACCTATTTAATAAATATTTTATTAATTACGCATTTATTTTTTATTATCCCAAAATTGGTTACCAGCAAAACTGCTGAACCGGGTATTTCCTTTATTGAGGATATTTTATGCGTCTATGCTCACAAAATATTTCTTCAATATGGGAAATATCGCTTCCAGCACATTTTAAATTGTAACAAACTAAATCCTCAGCACATTCCTAATCTCCCGGCGCATTCTTCGAATTCCTTCAATAGTTCCTCCAGATCTCCAGGTAAGTAGGCGGCGCAATCATCTGACAAAACGTCAACGGTGTTGCCGTTGTTTAACGTGCAGCTCCCACTTCTCCAATCTTACGAGTATGTGTTCTGTGGAGTGAACGAAAGTGGAACGCGCGTTAGCCGTCGAGGCCTACTTTTCTAATGGTCGTTCGATCATAGTCAATATCGCGCCACGTGGACGTGTTCCTGGCCGGTAATCGATTCTTTCATACATTCTAAAATATTCAGAGCCTTAGTATACCTCAATAATCATTGGGTTATTTATATGTTCACCTTGAAAAAAATTAGTAAAACGAGCTTTAAGAAATTGAAGAAGATATGTTGAGTGACCTTTGTACAACTTGGCGCTCACTTATAGATATGGCGGACAAATGGTGACGATTTGGATCACGTGACCCCGTTTTTCCATACCCCAACAATGTTTAATAATGTCCTGTATTTAAACTGAGGACACATTGAACTGACACGTGACCTCAGTGACTGATCATGTAATTTAAAGGATTTAATAAAATGTTATTTCAACAGCATGGTAAAATATGTCAAAACTGACTTTAGTATTTATGAATCTAATACTTTTCAAAACTGTTCGAAAGTGGTATTTACTCTAACAAAAGTAGATTTCTTTCTCAGACCAAGTGGTATTTGAATACCTGCAAAAATCCATAACATCTGAAGACATATCTGAATAACTGCTAAATTATTCAAAGAATAAGTAATCATAAAATGTTTGCTTTAAAAAAAGAAGTCAAATGAGCGTTAAAAAGTCGAAATCAGCTCTCTCGTTACGTTGGATCACCGTTTCACAGCTTGACGACCATTTTTTAATATGGGGTACAAAGATCACGATTCGGATCGAATGGCAAATATGTTTAAATGCCCCTATTGCTGCCCAATAATGCCCTGCATTCAAAATGGGGACTCTGCTTCTAGACTATCATACGTTAATCCTACCAGACAAACCCGCCACACTTCCATTACACGTTTTAACTCATAAGAACTCTTTTCATCGAGAACTGCCGATAAAGTTGATCCTAGTTTATCCCAGCTTAGTGACCTTGAAGAGTTCAAAAATTGGTTCTGTCGACTATCTCTTACTTACTTAAGTTTACTATAAAAGCACATTTCTCACAGAAAGGTCTCCTCTCTGATAAGAACCCAAGTCTTACCACCTAGCTGCAAGTTCGTTGAGGGAAGTCCCAAAGCTTTCTTGCATAAAATGTCTTTCTTAGATTTCTTAAAAGAACTTTCCGCTCAGGCTTTCTGTAGTAACAATTTAGCAAGTAATCTTAAAACTTTCTCAACTAAACGGCATCTTTTTTAATGTTAGATGAAATTCGCGTCCTCCTATGAATCGACAAGCTTTCTACTTGACACTGCTTTTCTACTAAGAGACCCATTTCATAAATCATAAACACACCTTAGCCTACTTGCACACACAACGATTTTGGACGGCCGGTAAAGTATCGACCGTTTTTTTATCGATAGGCTCTGTTTACACACGCTCCGGTTTTTTACCGGTGCAGTGCTGATTTCCAATATTATTTTTAATGAATCCCCAACGAGTTGTTGCAATGTGGTTACTGTACTAGTGTAAAAAGCGTCGCAGAATTAAGCGAAAGTTCTGGATTCATTTTTCTCTTTGACTCCATTTCTTTAAAATCCTCATTCAGTTCGCAGCAAACTTGCCTCATCACATCGGATCATCCTTGGAAACAAATAAAATGTTGATCAGTTACAAACTGTCAAAATTAGCTTTGTGAGCTTTATAATAAAAACGTGTTTGAAAATGAATTTTCCTAAAGAAGAAATGGTGAATATGGTTTTCGTTTTGGGCGAAGCCCAAAGAAGTAGTTTCCTAGCATCTCGCATGAGCAACGGTACCGTAATATGCGACATCCAACGCCGCAAACATTTTCCACACAAGAGAACCTTTTGAATCAAGTGGAGCAGTGGAATGTAGTAAAAAATGTATAAGTAATCCAAGTGTCAATAATGAGGCGAATCAGTTGGAGGTTCTATTAAAGTTGCAGGAAAATCCCCCATTAACGTGCACGGCAAATTGTAGCAGAAACTGATATATGCAGAACTTCTTTCCAAAGGATTATTCACAAGCATGGGTACCATCCATATCACCTATGCTTGCATCAAGGTCTTCGTCCTCAGAATTTCGCAGCTCAAATGGAGTTTAGTAGAATAATGCTAAATAAAGTGAAGAGTGAAGACACTACTTTCCTGGATAAGGTTCTTTGTAGCGATGAGGCAACCTTTAACAGCATAGGTGTTGTCAACAGGCATAACATGCACTATTATGCGACGGAAAGCCCTTACTGGGTTAGGCAAATAGATTTCCAAAATAAATGGAGCTTGAATGTTTGGGGAAGAGTTATTTGCAGACAAGTTATCGGGCCTTTCTTTTTCGATAACAGATTAACAGGTACAGAATACTTCAATTTTTTGATCGAGCATTTGCCTTTGCTTTTGGAGGATGTCGACCTGCAAACTCTGATGCGTATGTACTTCCAACATCACGGCGCACCTACGCATTATCATAATCGTGTGCGTAACTATTTGGACACCTGGAGTAACAATCGTTGGATCAGTCGTGATGGGCCTATATCTTGGCCTCCTAGATCACCAGATATGACACAGATGGGCTTCTTTCTATGGGGCTATGTTAAGCAAGAGGTTTATAGATATTCACCATCTACCCCGGAAAATATGAAGGAAAGGATTAAGGATGCTTTTCTGAACATAAGGGAAAACGTGTTGAGGCATGTGCTACGGTCATTTATTTAAATACTACGGCTGTGTATTCAACATGGTGGAGATATTTTCGAGCAGTTTTTGTAGATTAGGTCTTGAGTAGTGATAGTTGTTTGTTTATGTTGTTGTTATAGTTGTTTTTCTCTATTACGTTTGAAGCTGATTTATACTGTTCTGACTATTAGTTTTTACGTCAAATCTGTACTCTTAGGCCCGTATCGTCAGTCGTCCCTACAATTCTAGGGCGCGTGTATGGCCTCCTTGATTGTCATACTCCTTTCTCTCCTTCAAAAATTTCTAGATTACATTTGTCCCGTGTCAGCGTCAGCGCTCTCCTATTGTGAAGATATGTTTTCTTTTTAAATTGTAGGAAATTTCAGGCTCATAAAACATGATATAACTCAAAAGCAAGCACAATTTGATGCAAATAGATGTTTGTGACATAACCTCAAAATAGAGTTCTGACACGAAGAAGTAGAAAACTATGACAATCAAGGAGGCCATAAAGGCGCCCTACAATTGTAGGGACGACTGACGATACGGGCCTTAGTGGCAATATGGAACTAGCGCACGGTTTTTTCTTTGTTTCCATGGATGACATGATTTTTTTCCTTAATTTTGGTGAGTTGTTCTATTAAAAGATTAATAACTACAAATCTAGTGATTTTATCTGAATCAAACCTTATACGAAAAAAGCGTACAAAAAATTGAGTCCAAACTTGCACAAATATACAGGATGATGCATTTGAAATTTTTGAGAAAAAGTACAATTCCAGTTTCCGACCACCCTGCATGAGCAAAAATGAACATTCGAAAAAGTAACAAATAAGATAAAAGCTGAGGTGAGTAAGTTTTTTTCGATATAAAATTCAGCACTCCAAATTTCAAAATGGCGGATTGAGGGGTTGCGAAAGTGAACGGTTTTTCTGGACAAAACACCTTACATCTCAGTAGCTAATTACCAAAACCCCATAGTATGTTATATCAATTTTCTTCTTCTGAATTGATTTATCGAAATATGCAATAAAATTTGAGGCCATTTAAAAAATCAAAACTTTGATATGTAGGTCAAATGTATAATTGCCAATATTTTAGAAATTTGCCCTCAAATGTCATGTATAGCATGCCATAAATAGATTTTCCCAAAATGTATTTGTTGATGAGTAATATTCAGTCTACACATGGATGGGCCACCCTGTATATATATATAATATTTCATATTTTTCACAGGATGCTTTGCATTATTCAGGGTGAAATCAGCACACTTGACGCCCTTTCTTGGGCTAACTTGACCAGACTATTCCTCCTCACCCATTACCTGTAACGGCACAAACGTTTGTGATGACTAAACTGCCAGGCCAGCGCACCGTCAGCACGGTGGTCATCGTCTGCCTCCTTACCGGAATACACACCAAGCATTGAAAATATTTCTAACCGTAGACCTTCAGCACGAATGTACGGAAAGATATATGGGTGAAATATTGTAATAGAAAATGTATCAATATAGTAACTTCAAAAAATTAAGATACGCCATCCCCCATACCCTGCAACCCCCAGCCCCTGAAATGTCAAAAAAGGAAGTTTGATCAGCTATTATTTTTTCTTTTATAGCCGTTCACGCCGTCCTTCCAATCCGAGCGGTATTTTCCAAGTTATAGACGGGCCCAGAATTAACGGACCTGCAGACCGATGGAAATCAAATTCGTGATATACGTACCATATAACACCCAAGAAGCATCATCTCTCATTTTTGAAATTTTTCATGCTTGCAATACGTCCTCCGCCAGTAGGCCGGGGAGTAAAAGTAAAGATGAGAAGATGACATGCACGCAATAACTGCACGCTGTAATACAACCATCTAGAAATATTTTGTGATGTAAATAATTTCTGTCGGTGTACTACATTATGGTCAAAAGTGAATCTACGCAAATGCTTTTTTTCTGGTAAATATGTTTTCCAATGTATATTGTACAATAGATCCGAAATTTGAAAGCATCCTCCCTCTGCTCTCCAAAGAGCAACAGCATTTTTGCAATAACTCTTCCATCAATTTAATACTTGACGTCGGCTAAATCTCAATATTCCTGTAATAAAATACTAGGCACTTTTCGTGAAAAAATATGTTTTTGTAAAATATTCAATTTAAAGAATAAAATAAGGAACAACTGATTTGATAGTCTTTGACCGGATTCCTGAAACATATGCTTTAGTGATTGCATTAATATACTCACTGTTACAATTTCCTATAGGGGGCATCCTAAATCCCGACAAAGGATCAGAAGTTGCAAACGGAAACGGCCGTTGACCAAAGGCGAAGTGAAACTGCTGTTGCTGTCCTAGAAAAGAAAACACTAAATATTAGAACTGACGACTGTCCATATATAGAGTCGATAAAGATGAAAGCGAAAGATTCAATGCCCGACAACATTGAAATGTCGACGTAGAATTTTTGTTATGATAATTTTACATTCTCTGTTGTTCCTCTAAGGATATTTCTGATTGGAAAATACTTGTAGTAGCTTACTTTTGACCTGATAGCTACACTTCACCTTTATGAGAGGTTACCTAAGTTCCGTAGGTAGGGGAGCCTCGGTACCTCAGTGGTCATGGCGTCGAGCTAGCAACCCGAGGCTAGCGTTTTCGAACCTCCGCCTGAAACTTAATTCCCTACCATGGATGTTATGTTACGCACGTGGTGCAATATTAACAGGGACATCTCCTAGCTGGAGCTGATTTATTATATCAGTTAGCAGTAGATGGTACCTGGAGTGGTACAGTGTTGGTACTACGGGGTCAGCAGGTATGTAGCATCTGTAACTTATGCGGTGCTTTGCATGTCGATAGATATATTTATTGTGGTTGAACATGTGTGGTTATTTCATTAAACAAAATGGAATCAAGAATTTCAATTTCATAACTATACTTAAATTAATGATTTTACTTGTACTATAATATATATATATATATATAGTATTCATAGTTAATTGCCTTAACTGTTAGGAGAAGATTTCCTTTAATGTCTTTGGGTAGAAGGCAAAGTATTGCAAAAGTACACTCTTATAACTTAAATTCTCAAGCTTTCGAAGAATTTTATCTTCATCGTCTGGAGTAAGTCGGCGAGATTGTTGCTGAAATTGTTTTTTAAACAACAGTGAAGGGAACACATATTCGACAAATAAAAAACTGGAACGATAAAGTTCGATTAGGAGGGGGAGTCGGCCGGCACGTGTTGGATAATGTGGAGGTTATCAGTGGAAAAATAGATGAAATCTCGGGGGAATTTTCAATAGTTGATTGTTTTAAAATCTCCAAATTTCTTCCAAAATCAATCAACGCCTAATTTTAAATAAAACCTTTCAAAATGATTTGCCATTTAATAATATAATTCCGTCCTAATCGAACCTCATAGGTCCAGTTTTTTATTCGTCGACTATGTGTTCCCTTCACTGTTGTTTAAAAACAATTTCAGCAACAATCTCGCCAACTTACTCCAGACGATGAAGATAAAATTCTTCGAAAGCTTGAGAATTTAAGTTATAAGAGTGTACTTTTGCAATACTTAAACTTAAAGGATATATATATATATATATAAGTTATGTACCAGTCTATAAAGAAGATGAAGCCCATTCAGCACTCTTTCACTGCGACTCATGTTTATCAGTTAAAAGTATTATATTTCATTTGTCCTTCCTTTGCATTGTATAACGTATTTTTAAAACGGTCTCGATTCAGAACTCAATCCACGAACTCGGTTTGCTCGCAAAAAAAAAATTTAAAAAGACTTTCGAAAAGTTATTTAAGTTATATATATACGTATATATAGGTATATAAAGTTATTACAGGATTAGCACAGAATCATTGAGGTCCGATATTAAATGTTTTTGAGCGAGATAGAAAGGAAACCCAGTAGATAGAGTTTATATGCTCTAAAATGGTGCGACCTTTCGGTGCAGACTTTGACCGCTCGTGACCTCGAAATGTCATTGGCCTGAGTAAATGTGTGTATGAGGTGTCCACAGACTCGTTGTCCTTCTTGTCCTGCATGCTTCATCCATGCTATCGCTCTAGCACATGTGCTTCTTTCTCCAGCTCACTCGTACATATTGAATACGGGACCCCAACGAATCTACATATGTTATTTCTGTATAAATCAGTCAGTGTCCAATCATTCGTACATACTGAAATTCTGTTGACTGAAACATAAAATAATGTTGACCCCAACTAGAGTTTACTTGGTACATTCACCTTTTCCTTAATTGCAGCCGAGAAAAAAATCAGCTCATCCACCATATTAAAAAAAATACACCAGTACACATCAGTGGCATTTAAAATGCCAATCAGAAAGGGTCTACCGACCATGGCGACAACGCAAAAATGAGTCTTAATAGTGCATAATACATTATATTAATAATAACTTTATAACGAATAAAGGTAACAATTTACCGTCTGCACCATTTCAGAAAAACCCATCAAAATTGTCGTATGTTAGGAAGCTTATCCTACAAGAATTAAGTTGACAAAATCTGGATTTAAAGCGCGTAACTTTGAAGTAAGGGATTATAGGCATTGCTTTTTGTGAAATGTCATTCCTCCCTAAACCAAGCAAGATAGAAATTCTTTCGTCTAGGATAGAACTCAAAAAAGTTACTTTAGTATAAGTTAATTGTGAATGAAACTAGATATAACAATTTCTGTAAGTGGTTGCCCAGATACGTCTTAACTAGTGCTTTACATGCCAAACTTGCGTTCCAAAATATATGACTAACATTTTCTGCTACATGGAATAAAAGGTTGTATTCCTCCAAAAGGTATGTTCAAAAGAATATTAATTGAAATCATGGTATTTTGGTTTCAGTAACTATATAAACTTAAGTGGGACTTTTAAGCGCGTTATGTATAGACAGCTTCACATACTTTTCCAATTTTGGTCAAACCACAGTATTAGTACTAAGAAGGTAATAGTGACAAAATATATGAGCAGCCAAGATTACGGCCAGATTGATTTTTAGGAAATTGTTTCTTTGTATAGTCCAGGCCCCTTAAATTAAAGGAATCGTTGCCTGCTGATGTAGGAGGCACATCTCTTAAAAAACCTCTGAACGTGGCATATGATTGTATCGATTTTCTAATGTTTCCTGAGTGTAGTCCATAAAAATGTTTCATGGCCACAACATTTTGGCAGATATGTTTTTTTAACGTTCGCAGTTCTTCAAATCATGTTGTAGATCTCCGTAAAAAAATAGTTTTTGCTTCCCCGGCGCGGAAGTATTTTAGTCATTGAAAAAATTTTGAATGTGAGACGTTTTTCGGATATTATATGACATGTAGATCACAAAAACTATGTTACTCATTTCCGTCGGTCTGTCTGACGGTCCAGTAATGACTTGGAAAGTATTTCCCGGATCTGGATGACACTTACGCAAAGTTACTGCTAGGCCAAGGACGAAATAGTTTTTTAGTTTTTGAAAATCCAGTCCTGTGGCGGCGGAGAAAAATTCCAAAAACAAAAAATCAATAAAAAACTCTCAAACTTCGTTTTTGACGCTTCAGAGGATCCTGATCATTTCTGAAAGACTTTTTAGGGGTAATTGATGGAGGTGTAGGGGTTGTAGGGGAGGGTGTGTCGCAATTTTCTGATGTTAGTATATTAATACAATTCCACCTCCAGTAGATCCACGCATCTATTAGACGTGTTTCACATATCATAGATTTTCCCGTAAGTTCGTCTAATTTATTAATAATAAGTTAAAATTCATGTTTATGTGTTATCGTTATTTTGATGCAGCCAAAATAGATTTATGTAATCCTTGGGAACAACTGAATCACTGTATATGGTTCCACCTTTTCAGAAGTTTGGATATCCTTCCTGTTTTCAATTAAAGCTCAAGGATAGGCGCTTGTATTAGAAGGAAGGTCATCCGCTGATGGCGTATTAATTCTTTAACATTGGACGCAAGAATAGTGGTGTGGACAGGCATCATATTTAGAGATTTTAAATTACATCTATTTGTATGTACTTGTCACAAACTCAGAAAGCTCTGGACAACCCCATCACTGTATGTGCCCAAACATTAAAGACAGTTTAATTTCTAGAAAAATTGTGTTTTTAAATTGCATACGTCCTTTTGCACTAGGTGGTCGCCCGCTGATGGTGCGTTAATTTCCCACCGCCAACTGCGACTGTCCCGCTGTACCATTGTAATTTTAATTTTGTTTATCAAGCAGCCGGAAGGGAGGCTCGATTGGCGGATTCCTGCAAACGACAGTCCACTGCATGGTGTGTTGTAAGGGGGGACGAACGGAATTGGATTTTTTTCGGAATACACCGCGTCACCGCTCCATTGTTGGGCACGTTGCGGCGGTAATTAATAGTCGCTTTGTAGAGGGCTTGATTTGAATGATGCACTAGGAACGGAACAATGGCAGTGGGGAAACTGAGTCTGTAGATTGTAGAAGGTTAAACCGAAATTTAGCTACATACCCAACGTATCGAACACATAGTTGGTTACAGCGCCATCTGTGAGACACTAGACTTTCAAAGTGCCTTTCTAATTATTGCGGAAAGAAGAAATATAGCTGTGACGAATTGACATTGGTGACGTCTGGTTATCCGATTCCATCTCATATAATTTTTTGGCCGCCGAAATTCAGTACTTGTTTGGCTGTCTTCAGACGAAACAGAAGTCAAAAAGCAATCCGAAATTTGTGAGACAAAAGAGTTGCAAGAATGTATACGCTCACAATGATTCCATAACTTGGACTTGGAAAGAAACGTTCACATTACTTCAACAATTCTTTCCAAAAATCAAACAACTCAAGCAAAAGTGCTCGCTATGGCTATTGTTTGTGACTTACGCCGTCAAAGATGGTGAACAAGTTTCATTCGCGCTCTGCTTCTAACTTACGTGTTCCTCAGTCTATCTCTCGTAAACAGTAATATATAACGGGGCCTCAATGATCCTCTGCCGATCCTGTATATGATTTCTCTTCCATTACTGTGTGGTCAGTGTTGATTAGAAACTTATCCTGCGATTATCGTGGTGGTAATGCCCCACCTTTTTTTCAAAGTACAAACTAAAATTGACATTGACAAGACACGTTTTTGTCTACCAACCTGAGAACTTAGCTACCCGTCCTTACAACGAACATTCAATTTCCTAGGTAAATGATGACAATATAAAAATCTATAGGTAAATAATAAATCTGTGCATACACATAGAGCTTTTTTGGCTCGTTGGGCATAGAATTGTCACTGCTATTGATACCCGCATCCAATTTTGAATGTTTACGTTGTTCACTATAAGTCAATTCAATAACCTGTAAACTGAGGTATTTGAAAGTAAGTAGAAAA